CTCGGCACACCACTTCTGAAAGGTTGCCTACCCCTGGTAGGCAACCTATGGCACGCGTGCCGAAGGCGGCACGCGAGCTGATTTTCAGTTGCACTCACGCTGCCCGGGTCCTGGCCGCTGGTCCGGGGGGCTCTGCATTTTAATTTAATTTTAAATGAAGCTTCTTAAACATTTTAAAAACCTTATTTACTTTACATACAACAATAGTTTAGTTATATATTATAGACTTATAGAAAGAGACCTTCTAAAAATGTTAAAATGTAGTACTGGCACGCGAAACCTTAAATTAGAGTGAATAAATGAAGACTCGGCACACCACTTCTGAAAGATTGCCAACTCCTGGTATAGAGCATGGGGAGAAGCTTGTATCAGCAGGAAGCACTGAAGTCGCATCAGATGCTCTCCTTGCATTTCACCTGCTGATCAGTTTCTCAGACTTCATTTCTTCTGTGACACTTTAATATTGCTGACCTGAGCTGATCATGATATTGGCTTAAAAATAACAAGATTTTTAAAACAATAAATGTGGAGTTGGTATTATGTGTCTTTGGGTGTGGCACAAAACATTTTCAAGCTTTGATCCACGACCATGAGAGCTAGAAATGTTTGGGTTTTTTTGTTTTGTTGTTGTTGTTTTATTTTGTTTTGTTTTAGAGAAAGCGTCGATTCTCATGTAGTCACATGAATCCAGGAGCTGGGATTTAAGAAGAACCACAAATTTCATGGGAGTTGGTAACACTGTGCTCTCCATGATTTGTCTCAGCCGCTGGCAAAATTCTGGGGGAAAGTTTAAGGAGAATCTACTCAGCCCATTTTTAATTAAATGAGCAGGAAAAAAAGTATACTTTCCCCATTAAATAAAACTAAATAAAGTTGTTTTGTACATGTACAACTGAAAACTGCTGAACTTTAGACTTGGCATGTGGTCAGTCCTCCCTAAGAATTTAGGCTGCAGTTGTCTTTTAATATTTTATTTTCATACTTATCAGTGTTTTAAGTGATAAAACTAGGTTTGGCATTTTTCAGTATTAAATTTTTACTCACTTTAAAGTTGTGTGCTCGCCGACAGCACTATAGAGTTGTGTTAACTATTGTACAACTCCATATTGGTGCGTCTATAGCAGTGGTTCTCAAACTGTGGTCAGAACCTAGGGTGACCAGATGTCCCGATTTTATAGGGACAGTCCCGATTTTGGGGTCTTTTTCTTACATAGGCTCCTATTACCCCCCCACCCCCTGTCCCGATTTTTCACATTTGCTGTCTGGTCACCCTATCAGGACCCCAAAATTGAGTCGCTAGGGCCAGTATTAGACTTGTTGGGACCCAGGGCTGACGCTAAAGCCTGAGCTCAACCCCCACTTGGGGCAGTGAGACTCAGGCTCCAGCTGCCTCTCCCCCCACCCAGGGTGTCAGGGCTTGGGCTCCGCCCCCTGGTCACATAATAACTTTGTTGTCAGAAGGGGGTTGCGATGCAATGAAGTTTGAGAACCCCTGATCATTAGGATAAGACCTGCCACCAACCCCAGTAATGTAAAATTTAAATTTAGAGTTTAAGACAAATGTAAATTTAGAGTTAAGTTTTTCAATCCTTAAGGGTATCAGATGCACTTAAAGCTTCTTAGGTTTGGTGTAAATTGATTAACTACTGATAAGTGTTTTTGAATTAAGGTTAGAAACTGTCAGTAATTAGTTATTTACGTAAAAGTGGCCAGGAATTATTTCTACTGCTCCAGACAGTAGTGCTGTTTCAGTATGAAATTGACTAGAAATGGGTGTTGCAGGCATCTTAAACACACTGAAACAACAAACAAAATATTGTGATATAATCATTTATTTTTTGGAAAAATTCCAAAAACAAGAAGATGAAAACCAGGAGGGAGCAGTTGATTATAAAAGAGGAGGCTTCTGTTTATACATAAATGCCGTGCAGTAAATGTGAAAGAAATTGCATGGGGAAAATTACATTAAACTTTAATGAGATTTTTGGTAAAATATATTTTTTTAACTTTGCCAGAGTTTCTGTATAAAAACACTGTAATCTTATTTGTTCATTTTATTTTTAAGGCACTTTAGAAAAGCCACTTACAAGAATATATGGAATTCTTAGTGATATCAAAACAGTTTCTCTGAAAATTTGGCTAATTACAGAATTATGGTTCGACTAACAGTGGATCTAGTTGCTAAAAGCATCAATCACAAAAACCGCAAAGAAGAATCTCTGGCACATTACCTGAGAAAGATAACTCACCTGAACTTATCAGATAAAAATATTGATACAATTGTAAGAACTTTTTCATAAATCATGACAATACTACTTTTAATTTTTTTAACTCAGTTTTATAGCTGGGGTTTTAGGATGTTTTAGTGCTGTTTTTGATTATTTGTTAATTTTTGGGAGGACAATGCTGATCCCTATATTATATTTTAAAACATTATAATTGACCAGATTTTTTAAAAGGTCTATTTGGAAACACACATTGTAGCATGCATTGCTGAATTTTTAAAAATAGATACTCCGAGAGAGCCTGCGTGTACTTGGCAGTACATACGATTAATTTGGAATGTACAGATATTTGGAATATAAGCACCTTAAAGCTGTGATAGTACCTGTAGTTCTTTCAGATATTCACACACTTCAGTGTTTTATAATTCCCACTGACCAACAAAATTGTTCTTCACCATTGGCCTTATTCTGTTTTCTTATGGCAGGCAAAACTCTCATTGAAGTCAGTTGGGATTTTTACCTGCATGAAAGTGGGGGGTGTAACCTATGTATCCAGCACACAGGAAGGATGTATTGGGCACATCAGCTATTTTACCTAATATTTTTTTATTAAAAGAAAAGTATATAAAAGCAATTGCGCTTTGAAGAAGAGAGATGCACTCAGTAGCTTTCTGCCTTTCAAATGTTAAACAATGTTTTGTAGTTTAAGAAAGGTTAAAGTTTAAAATCTCTTTCGTAACATTCCATAGAAGAAGCAAATATATAGTTATTGTTTTAAAAATGAAATTAGTTTGCTATCTTTTAATTTAATTTGAGACATTTGCCACCTTATTAAGTTCATGAAAAATGTGAGCTGTAAAGCTTACCCAGTGCACTGATGATAATTAGGGACCTTTGGGCATTGCTGCAATGCAAATAATACCTAATAAAAGTACTGTAACTAATTAATGACCAAGAGAGGAAGGGGAGAACAGAAACTCTGCAGCTCAGATTTTTCATTATTTTAAAGAGGTAGTAATAGTCTCAAATGCTGCTAAAATACAGCACTACTTTCATTTTTAAATAGCTCTTTTTTCTTCTCTTAGGAATCTTATGGAAGAGTTGTTAACTTGTAGCAAATTCTTTGCACTTGCCTATGATTTATTCCCTGCATTTTGGAGGAAGGTTGGGAAGGGGAAGGAGAGAAACAGGATGGGATATAGGTCAAGTGAGGCTATTGAGGCTAATAAATTTGGACCAGTATGATGGTTGTCCAAAATTGCACAGGTTATACCTTTCATTAGTGAATTAATTTGCTCTCTTTGGTCTAACCATTTTAAAAATAATGGTACTTAATTTTAAAAGAGTAAACCTGCAAACTGTGAGCTCTATCCTGCTCCTTTTCAACTTAATGATGGGAGTTTTGCCATAGATTTCAGTGGGGCCTGGATTAGTTCTGATTTCCCTCAAGATACTGACTAAACTCAAACCAGGGATGGATTTCTTAAAAATAAAACATTAAACCCGGTTTTGAACTGTAAAGGTATTACACCCTGATCCTGTGGCTGGATTCTATGTAGGTAAACACCTGCACCCTCATGGAGCCCCATTGAAGTTAAAAGAGCTAAGCCCAGGAGCAGGGGTCTGCCATGAAGATCCAGTTGCAGGAGAACAGGTCTTTAGATACCAAGGTGACAGATGCCTTAGGAATACTTCGATATAAATATGCTAGCAGAATTTTATATATTTTTCAGGTTATTTTTAAGAATGTCTTTCAAGGAAGGGTCAGATTCTGGTGAAATCTTAAAAGAGGAAATATAGTAAAATACATTCAACGTTTTTATACTTTCTTAATTGAGAAACTGTTTTCCATTACACCAATGACATATTAAGGTAGCTTTCAGTTTGTTTGAGGCAGCAATCCACTGAACAGATGTTTTCCTGAAATGTACTTGAAGAAGGCAGGGAAGACAATGAGATCATAAACTAAGTCATGTTCACAGGTTGGGGAGAGCCATGATTCTCAGTTTCAATACAGCAAAGCATTAAAGAGAAAAATCAGTCTTTGCCCCAGGAGACGGTTGCTTAATTATGTTTACTATAAATGGTGAATTAAAGTTAGTGTTTGTCAGTGGTGAAAATCTACAGATAGATCATACAGCAGAACTGAATCTAAGGCAAAAAATAACAGGCTCCAGAAGTTGATTATAAGGGAGCTGAATATAATCATTTTATTCTTTCTTCCAGGATGACCTCTCTTTGTGCAGAAATCTTAATGTCCTGTATTTGTATGATAACCAAATTAGACAAATCCATAACTTATGCTTTGCTTCAAATCTAACACACCTGTACCTGCAAAACAATTGCATTTCATGTATAGAGAACCTCACATCACTGAAAAAACTTGAGAAACTGTAAGTGAAAATTGTCTTTTATTTTGAAAAAATAAAAAAAAAGTTATTGTATATTATGTATTAATAAGAAATTTAAGAAAAAGTTAAGCATTGAAGTCCTGTCCTTGTAAGTAAGCTAAATGTTGTCTTTCAAATCCATGATAAAGTCAGATCTGACAGCTATAAGAAAGTGGTTTGTTTTTTTGTTTTTTGGTTTTTTTTACAGTGGTTGCAGGGAAAGGAATGATAAAAGCTAGGGTGCAGGGGAGAGTGTTTGATGAGAATCAGATCTAGGAGGTAAAACCAAGCAAGGCCTACGTGCTTGAATATGTACCGCCACCTGGAAGTATTAAGTAGAGCATTTAACCTCTCTGGATGCTGAATTGGGTTGCTCAGACCAACTAAAAGCTGAAGCTTGTGATCTATTTGTTAATATCAACTGATTGTTATTTAGTACCACCGAGAATGTGGTGGAAGGCAGGTATATCAATCCTAGAATGGTGAAGGCTCTTTTCCCTATGTACTGAAACAAGGTTACCTCAGGTTAATTAGAGACACCTGAGTCCAATTAAGTGATGCTGGTGACCTTAAAAAGCCCCTCTTCTGGTGAGAGAGAGGGATGCCAAACAAGCTACAGCAGGGTTAAGGGTATCAGTGAGAAAAAGCTTCTTCTAGGTAGAAGGCTGCCCTTCTCCCTTTAGGGCAGGGGTAGTCACTCATTTTTTGTCAAGGTCCAAATTTCTTGGTCAAGGTACAGTCAAGATCAATACTCCAGCGAAAATAACAACAGTAATGATAATAAGTAAATAAAAAGATTTCGGGGTCCATTCAAAAGCACTGGAGGTCCAGATTTGGCCCACGGTCTGCCTGTTGACTACCCCTGCTATAGGGGAAACAACCAAGTTTACTTCTGTTTGGGGAAGGGTTGGCAGCCAGATGCCAGCATAATAAGTCAACGCCTTGGAGAAGGACAAGGAAATATATTTCTTTTGTGTTGTGAGTTTGTTTTTTGGGCTTAAGAGAACTACTTGTGCCTACCTTGAGGCTCACCTTGTAAGCATTGGGGAAAAAAGCCCAAATCATTCAAAACCTCCAAAGTAGGACTGATTTACTTTAGGCCTCTACTGCCAAAGCAGAAACTCGGGCTGATGAGGCAAAGGAGGAGCCTTGCCAGAAATCATAAATACCTTTCATTGGCTATATAATATTTCCATTCAAGTATTTTGTGACCACATACACTGTGTAGCAATGGATATTATTTGAAATTTATCATTAGACTTAGTCTGTTTGAAATACTGTCTTCTTTTACAGAAGATTTAACGAGTATTATTATCTATAGACTAATAGAATTGATAGACTAGACTTGCATCTATTAATCTATAAATAGTACAGTTGGATACAAGTCTGTTTAAATAGGAATTCTTCACTCAGTTGCAATTCCTTAACACATTAATTGCTACAGTTTAATAATGCCTGTAAGGGATTCATTTCTATTTTGAGACTTGAGTGTGAATCTGCTTTGTTTTGTTTTTCTTTTGCCCTCAAACTGCATTAAGTCCCATTTATGTTGTTTTCTGCAGGTATCTGGGGGGCAATTACATCACAGTAGTAGAGGGCTTGGAAACATTAGAAGAACTGAGAGAGCTACATGTTGAAAGCCAGCGGCTTCCTCTTGGAGAAAAGCTCTTGTTTGATCCAAGAACTCTTCATTCCCTGGCAGTAAGCATATATATGAATTTTCTGACAAGCAGTGACAGTAGACCAGAGGTCAGCAACCTTCACCACGTGGCCCATCAGGGTAATCTGCTGGCGGGCCGTGAGACATTTTGTTTACGTTGCCCATCCACAGGCATGGCCCCCCGCAGCTCCCAGTGGCTACGGTTCACCGTTCCCGGCCAATGGGAGCTGCAGGAAGCAGTGTGGGCGGATTACCCTGATGAGCCGCATGCCAAAGGTTGCCAACACCTGCAATAGACTTATGAAAGAAAGGTAGTGTGGATGGCTCAATATTTTGTACATTGCCCCCTTTTCCTTAGTTATAAGGCCTCCATTCAAGTGGGATCTGTAAAGGGTTGATTTTTTTTTTCTCTCCATGTAACTTAGAAAATAGCTAGGAAAAAACTGGAGTGCCACAGTCCAGCGGAGTCCAGCAACCTGTTTGCTTGTTTATTTGTGGAATGTATTTATTTATTTGCCTGAAGCTGAAGGATACATTTTCTTTATGCAGAAGAAATAAACAGTGAATAAGTTGAAAAGAGAGAAGGGATTTATTATAGAGAAGTCAATTACTCAATTCTTGAATCCAAAGCTTGCAAACTTTTTCAGAGGTGGCACTTAGAGTTAATAACCCAGCAGCCAATGAATTTGGCAGCATTCTGGGGAAAATCCTTATGAAAAGATGAACAGTTTTTTCAGTCTCTGAAATATAATCAGGTTTTTCTTCAACCATCTTTAGAGTGATGTCTTTTGTCCTTTTTGTCCAAAGTTAATCACAGTATCTATTTTTGCTCTTCACATTCGTTTCCTCTCCCATCTGTTCTTGTTTCTCATGGCTGGAAACAAGGAAAGGGTCAGAAACATGAGCCCAGTCATCTCTCCATGGATTACCAACTATTGTTTTGCCAACCAGCAGCGGACCACTATTTGGGTTATTAATTGTGTGCACAGGAAGAATGGTAGAGCTAAAACTTCTGTCCTTTTCTGATATGCAGAGCTCACTCTTCAGATCCGGTTCTAGGAGGGATTTAGGTTTCTAGATTTGCACTGCTGAAAGAAACAGTCAATGGTCAAGCAATAATTAGTCCCTTTTCTAGCCTAGATTTAAACATGCTAGTTCAATATGCCTCTTTCCAGTTCCTAAACGCATAAGTGCCTTTTTTTCCTTTGACATAAAAGTATACAATGTTTTGCTAATTTGGATAAATGTTACCTGAACTACATTTATTTTGGGGATAGAACCAGGGCCGACGAGAAAGGGGGGAAGCCGGTACAAATTACCAAGGCCCGGTGGTCCGGAAGGGGCCCAGCTTCCCCCTCCCCCATCGGCACTGTTTAGCTGGTCTGCCCTTTCTGCGGGACTGGAAAAAATTCCGGGCCCGACTTTCCCCCCCTCCTCGTCGGCCCTGTTTAGCCGGTCCGCCCTTGCTGGGGGGCCCGAAAAAATGTTTTCACCGGGGCCCGAACCCGCTCTCGGCGGCCCTGGATAGAACAGCGGGCTCACCATAGGTACTCTAAAAGAGTGTTCCATGATGGATTACCTCGTGTTGTTTTCCAAAAAGTTGCACATTACTAAAAGGCCCAGTTCATGTTTATTCATTGTTGGACTCATCAAGAGGGTAAGTTCCAAAAGAAAGGCTAAGGCAATAGGACTGTGCATATGAGAAAGGAGTGTGCATATGAACAAGGTTTGTGAGATCAGGTCTGAAAGGAAGGCAACATAATCTAGTGGTTAGAGCAAGGAATGTGGGAGTCAGAAGATATGGATTTTAATACCAACTCTTCTGTAGACTTGGTGTGTGACCATGGGCAAGTCAATTAACTTCTGTGTCTCAGCTCTGCATCCGGAAATTAGGGCTATTAATACTTATCGTGATGCTTTCATGGCCCTCTGACTTGTGAGGCACTACTGTACCACCAGCCCTTAGCACAAGGAAGCCCACAGGCAACACAAGCACTCTTCCCTAGGCCTTGCAGGCCCCACTGTCACTCAGGTACAAATTGAGAGATTGTGAAATCTACAAGAGAGGAAGAAGAAGAACATCAGGGGTGCCTCTTGTTTCTGCATCAGGAAGAAACAAACAGCAAGGGGTGCCCTATTTATGAATAAAGTTGAAGAATTGGTCTGGTATATCTTGGAGTGCAAAGAAACACATGGAATCCTTCACCTAGGAGGCAAACTGACAGCTTGCATGTGTCTGAAAAAAGGGTCACAGCCTGCTTAGCAGTGCATTGCAAGAATCTGGGGTGAGCAACACTTTATTACACATGAGTATCTTGTTAATTTAGTTTAGGTTCTAGAATGCGTTATAATTTTATTTTATATGTAACCTTTTGTTTCCAATACTTCTACTTGAATCTCTATTCTTTGTTAAATAAATGTATGCTTGATTTCCCTATAAATAAAACTAAGTGCTTTGAATTAAGCTGAGTGGTGATCTAAAGTGAAACTGGTAAGCTGTTTCTTTGGAAGTAGTGGATTGGTGAATACTGTTAGTGTTCAGGACGCCCAGGAGTTGGACACTCCAGGGAGATGCTCAGTGGGCTTGAGGGTTGGAGTGTCCCTATCACTAACCTGCAAAGTAACAGCGGGGCCTGCAAGTCCTGGAGTCGAGTGCTGGTGTTGCTCATGGCTGGTGGAGTTGGAGAACTGACCCCTACCAGGCATAGATGAGGCTTCCTCACGCTAAGGGCAGGTGGCAGCAAGTTGCCTTACAATCCTGGGTACCCCCAGGAAGCGTCACAGCATACAATACACAAATGACGAGACAGGGAAATAAGTGTCAGTTACCTTCTGCCTGAAAGGAACATCTGCAAGGTATGTCATCCCCTGGTGACCTACCTTAACTCCAAGACGTCAAGAACATGATTTTCAGTATAGATACATAGCTCCTTAATATTATCTACACATACATTTTGCAACAATTATAATGTCCAGGGGGCAACTGGCTCACGGTAGAGACCTCACATGCCACCCTTTGGTGAACTGTTATGCAGTATCTGACCCAGTGGATCCCTGTAAAGCCTTCTGCACCCCGTGCCGTCTGCCAATTGGCACCAAGAGTTCTTTGGGTCATACTTACCCACCTTTATACAGCAGTTTGAAACATTCAAATTAAAAATGCTATATAAATGCTAAGCATTATATTATGAAAACAGTAGAGATACAACATTGTTGCAGGTTGACTTCATGACCCAAAATACATATCCTTGTGGGAACCCTCAAGCCCCTATACAGAGGAAATGCACATCCAGCATCAAAGGTTATGTGAAATATTAGACAATCCTGTGTAGTCTCATTTACACATTTCAGCCAAACCTTACAAAATTCACAATGTGGCCCTGCTGACAGAATTTTCTCAAAGGAATTACTGTTACACTTTTGCAATGTAAGAAAATAATTGTATTTTTTTCCTTTTTTCTTCCAGAAATCTTTGTCAGTGTTGAATATCAGCAATAACAATATAGATGAACTGGGAGAATTAGCACTTCTGGAAAATATTTCTCATCTTATAGCAGTTGACAACCAACTTCACCATGTGAAGGTATTAAAAAGAATGTTTTTTTTAATATTTAGTGTGAGTGAAATCAAAATAATCACTGATCATTATTATTAAGGTATTTTAATAGCCAGTTCAACATTTGTTTCATTCTGATAATTTATTGTGCCCCCAGTTACGGAGCTTGATCCAAATCAGATTGAAGTAAATGGGAATCTTTCCTCAGACCTCAGTGGACTTTGAATCAGGCCCACAGTGCAAAGGCCCCATGGCATCAGAATGTTGGATTTGGCTTGTTTTTAATTAATTTGCAAGTAAATTTTACCACATTACAATTTTTAGTTCTCTGTCTTGGGATAACTGCCATAAATCCCCACACGTTAGTCAGCATTTTTATTGTAAATGAGTTAAGGCAGTTCTTAGATATTTGATCGGCTGGCCAGTGTCTCAGCCCTTCTTCTCATCTTCAAATTACACCAGATATTTTATTTCTGCCAGAATATCATAATAAGCAGTGGTCATGAAAGTGGCTACTGAATTTCTTTCATTTGGGAGACATGAAATCTATAGAACCCATTCCCTTTTTGGAGAAGGACCATAGTGTCTTCTAAGCAAGAGCCCTTCTCTTGCATAGTAGCAGTTATAAAGAAATCTACATGAGACAGAAAGTGAGGTCTTGAGTGCATTTACAATCTTTTTTTGCGGCAGTGAATGTAGTTTAAATAAAATGCATTAAACAAGTTTTCTGGATCTATATTTTCAATAATACAGTTTATCTTCTTAGAAGGGATTTGCCTTGTCAACTGTCATATACTTCTGTGAGATGTGATATATCCTCCCCCCAACATTAAAAAAAAAAAAAAAGAAAGAAATTTAAACAGTATCTTGCCTCATATAGATATCACTAATGAATAACATTAACACATGAGACTGAAGTTGAAAGATGTGATGAACGTTTTGTGATGTCCAGACCCGCACAGGCTGGGGGCATCACAGGAGGGTACATTTTAAATAAATGTCTATAGAAGCACATTGCATGAATAGGTTTAATATATTTTACTTAGGCCATAGACATTTACAGCAAAGGCTAGTTTTCTTCTGAAATTGAGGGTTAGGTTTTTTAAACTGAACTAAATACTAAAGGCAACAATTCCAGTTCTCTTAAAGGAATATATTCCTATCTAAATAAATAATCCACTGTTAGCCTTCTTTCTGATTCAGTAACTGAGAAAAGAGAAAAAGAGGAACAGCAAGCCAAATCTATATTATTCAATCCTGTACATATTGTGTAATAATATTATTCATACAAACCAACTAAAACTTGCCTGGGAAGGAGAAGAAAATAAAAATAAGTAGGGGGAAGTGGTACATTTAATTAGTCAATCAGAAATTGAAGTTTGGAATATATCTTTACTTGTTTTCTACAGCAGTCAATTTCATGGCTGATGTGGCTCATGTTATTCTGGAAACTATAGTTAAAAGGATGGCACCTGATGTAATAGTAAAATGAATAGTAGAGGGTTGCACATTTTATTCCTTCTGTAGGTTGAGCTCTTTCCCCATGCCAGTGACTCCTTGAATCCCTCCATTCCCGCAAGCTCCATATGTGCCACCCTCCCATTCCCCTCTTTTTCAGGGACTCCCTGCAACCTCCAACTTCATCTCTCATGCCAGAGGTTTCTCCCATTTACCCCCACCATTATTATTTCTTTTCTTTCTGCCTGGGAGAACAATTTAAACTTTATTGGGAAGAAGAGCAGAGATGAGATGAGGGGTGTTATTGGCTGCCATCAAGCAGATAATTACAGACCTGGTGAAGCTGATTGGTCTGCTAACTAGATGCCATGCGCTCTGTGTCCAACCCCTCTCCCCCCACCTTCTCTTCCCACCCCCATTTTCCCATGTCCAGTTTCTGATTTTCACCAGACTCAATAATGATGCCTAAACTGTTTATTGAAATTTTGGAATTGATTGGATGCAGCATTCAAAAATTATTGCATTCCAGACAAAGCCATGAATTTGAGTGTAGAGCCTCACTTTGCCTGGCCAGTTATGGTTGAGACACTGACCACCAGATTGTGATATTCAAAAACTGAATCACAAATTTTCCTTTCCAAGGCAAATTGCAGTTTTCAAAATGATTTTAATCAGTTCTAAAACAACTGTCAGATGTAAAGTCAGCTTTCTTATCCAAAGAGGAACAGAGTGTATATGTAACATCAGGGTGCTCACTATGTCACTAGAGATTTGCAGCAGATTAAAGTCCACAGATTTCCTGCTTATAAAATCATCAAGGAACTCTCCAGTTATACAGAACTGCTCCGTTCATTGTCAGCATCAAAATGAAAGTTCTTCCAAATACATTTGTAGGAAGATAGCAAATCAGACACCTAAACATGTACAGTAGCTATTTTAAGTTCAGATCCTTGATGGTTTACCTTTTTTAAAAACATACCATCATTATTATGGACAAATTACTTCTAAAAGGCTACAGTTTAAAATATATATATACAGGTTTAAAGATGTCAAGCTTGACAATTTTTTCTATACTATAACAGGAAATGGCCTCTCAGCCACATCAAAGCCTTTAAATGGGAAGACACATAGTTTGGGACAGTTCTTTTACATTTATGTTATCACCCTTATTTTTCTCTCTATGACTTCACGGAAAAATATTTTTGTGTAACCTGTCTGGATATGTTAAATTAGTTAGAGAGATATAGACTTTGGAGCTATGACTCTCTGGGTTAGAAAAGGTTGAAGATAGGAAACAGTAGAAATATCATGTTAGTGATCCAGAACTGGAGTGAAAACAATCAGCTGCTAGGTTCAAATACTGCCTTTGAAATGACTCCTTATGTGGCGTTGAGCAAGTCGCTTAACTTCTCTGCCTCAGTTACCTCTGTATAATGAGGCTAATAATAATTACTACATATTAGCAGTATTCCTGCTAAATCAACATGTCATTATTTAGCTTTTGTTAAGGAAAGTCTCAGTAGTGACACTTCTCTTTTCACTGGTGTCTTTTCACTGTTTCTTCAACATAAAAAAAAATGAAAAGGAAAGTAGATTTTAAGTCTTTACTGTATATTTATAATTTAAATCAAGTAACAACAAGGTGCAAAGATTTGGATGGCAAATTAAAGTTGTACTTTCCCGCTGTGCAGGAGAGGGGAACAGCAAGAAGACCAGATAAGGAAATCAGGTATTGTTAGATGTTGTGGGCAAAAGTGGGAAACAATAGTGCGGGCAGAGGAGAGAGGGCAGAAGGCCTCAGAGTCTGTGCAGTGGTGAGAAATGACAGGCAGAGAAGAGGAGCGGGGGCTAGAAAGCCATCAAGGATTTTGCAGAGTTTAATAGCAACAGTGAGAACATTAAGTAGTCTGTGCAGGAGAGGTAAATGACAGTGGGAATGGAATAGTAGTCTGTGCAGGAGAAGAAAGTATGAAAGGCATAACAGAACTAGGTGACATGAAGCATCTCCTCTACACCCTTTTCACTGTTGTATGAGGTTTGTCCAGTATAACTATATCAATTATCTTTTTCTCTGAACATAACATTTTAGTTCAGTTTTGTTATGGCAGCATAATAAACCCACCCCCCGCACCTGTGCTGTGCTTGAGCTCAGCATAATTGAGGATTAAGACTAATAAATTCATATACTTGAAGATTTGGACAATTAAGGGAATTTTCAGTTTCATTAATAGACATGAGGGAACATGACCCTGTTTCAGAAAAGTGAGGTTTGGATAATCAAATGTGATCTGAACTGCACTGACGGCAATTTTAACAAGACTTTAGATAATTTTCTTACCAACCAACCAACCAACTTTATTGTTGTAAGACCATAAATTGCTGTACACTGATGCCAGGAAGCTGAAAATAAAAACAACAGACAAGCTAAAATCTAACGAACAACTTTGATTTAAAAATCACATTTCTGCCTGAACATTTTCTACATACTGTTATAAAAGTAATATCTAATATTCAAATAACTGAAGATAATTAAAGAAAAATATATTCTCTATATTTGTTTATTTGGATTATTTGACAGTCTTTCCCTTTCCTAAGTGTAGTTAGCTAATTAGTCAGTTTTCATTTTTGTTTTTGTGAGTGTTCTGACACAGCAACAGGGAAAAGAAGATCATTTTTAAGAAAAAGAAAATGTTGTTATAAAACCACAAAAACTAGCAGGAGGGAGCCAGGTTCATGTACAGTACATGAAACTACTTACAGCTGTTTTTTTTAAATTGGCTCACTTATAAGTTGATGTATGCTTAGCATGCCTTTTACTAACATTAGCAGCACTGTCAAGAGATAACTTAGATAACCACAATTTAAAAAAAGCTCTTTTTATCAATAACACCTGGGATTCTTCCAAATTAAATATTTTTTTTAAAAATCTCTTTTCTACTTTTTCCTATTTCTGCTTGTTTGCTTTTTCATTTCTCTATGTCTGGACAATGAAAGTAAACTAGCAATTTCACTTTTGTTTCTAGTCAGGTTCACGCACACTACCAGGATGCTGTTTTGTTATGTTTGGGTGCAAATACTGAAAGGGATGTTTATTTGCTTTAAAAAAAAAAACCTGTTTCAATTAGAACTTTACTAAGTGCTGGAAATATTCTGTTGTTTTTATAAAAACTTAAATCAACAAACCTTTATTTTGAGAAGAATATGATCTAATGTCTATGTAAATGTTATGTTTGATATAGAAAATACTGAAAAGACCTATATAAAACCATCTGTATGTTCAAAGTCTTTAATTTATTCAACCTCTGGCCAGTATTGATTATGACAAGAAGATATCAAAAAAGATGAATTCATTCACTTCACAATTCAGTCAGGAACAAGAGAAAAATTATAGATTTTTTCTCAAATAGATTATGACAGGTAGTCAGAATGGTGACAAATTGCTGTCTGTAGATGTAGTTAGGGCAGCTGAGCTAGACATTTCCAATAAAAATTGGAGCACACTGGTCAAATACTAGTTCTTAAATGGCCATCATTAATTGTGAAGAAGGTTATTGCCAGTACTACAGCAGCCTACTGAGGCACTCACCTCCTATATGTGGAATATAATTTGCTCTTCAATATTTTGTAGCAGACCTCAAAGTGATAGCATGACATGATCATTTATCAAACAGAGACTGCCCAGAAAAGTGTCTGGTCCCTTTAGTACAGTTTATTGAAAGCTAGAAAGTGAAAGCACTTTATTAGAGACAGGAAGGCAATGAACAACTAGAGCATATCGAAAGGCTAATCATATTTCAGCACAGGATTAGTGTATTCTTAGATAAACATACACTAGACTGAGTATGTTCTGGGTCATTTATCAAGTGAGTAACTGCTCATGAAAATCTACAGCACTCTGTACATTCATCAAAGTTTAGCTGGTTACATGTTATGGTTTTAAGTAATATACAGTTTTGTGTTCTAAAAACCTATATTAATTGAATTAATTCTTTTAAAGGGAAATCTAATACTTATTAAACATTTTTCAAGACAATGGCTGATTGCCCAGATAAGAACAAAATAATAAATTATGCTGGCCAAATATTTTCTTTTTAAATAAGCCCAGGCAAAAATGTCTTTTTCCTAAAGTTATTTAACACTTTTTTGAGGGAGGGGGGGTATACACTGAATCTACTAAACAGTTATGTTATCACAGTATTATGCAGACAGATACTGATAGTCTTCCTTTGTAATTAATGTTATGGAACTAACAACGTTTCCCTAGGTGGACTGTTCCCACCTGGGAAGTTCCACAAGAAGAAAGTTTTGTGTCTCCATACTGCAGCTGTCACCTCTCGGACTTCCTTCAGCACTCACTCTATCAGCATGGCTTCTCCAGGAACTGTTCTCCCCTGGGCTTCCCACAGGCTGCTACTCCAGATCTACCCTTAAACAGTTCCAAACTATGGAGTGGAGAAGTGGGTGTAAGCATTAACTTACCTGCAAAAGTCCCATGGGTTTTTGTTTGGAAGGAGGAGGTTCATGCTGCCTTTTCCTTTGTCCCCTTATTCTCTACCCATGAATCCTAAACCACATGGTACACGTACAGAGTGGCTTTCATCAGATTGGAAGGAGAGTGGAATGATGCAGTAGAGTATCATCTTCTGCATCCCCCCTGGATTTAAGTCCCCTCTACTCTCAGAGACAGAGTAGATGATGGGGCACATTGTTATTAATTTTGCAGTCTGAATTTGAAGGAGGACCTATGAACTTGGATCAGCAGGTATTTGACTTTTGCTATCAAGCCATGAAAATTGTCCAAATTTTCTGGTTTATGAAATGCTGATCCTCATTCAGCAGATGTTTCTACAACTATGGTACATCAGTTCTAGTATTATCCACCTCTTCTCTCGCTCTCATACATAGCCTTTAGAATCTCTTCTCAAATGCTCTATACAGCCACATACTATATGGATTCATATTCAGAGTAACATTGGAAGGAAATTTTGGACCATGTGTATTTCAGAAGGTAGGCTCTTTGAATAGAATGGAGCAACTTACTAAGCACTTATGAATAGCCTTCAAATCTTGTTAACTTTAATATATTGAAGTTAAAAGACAGAAAAAGTTTGATCTAGGTCATATTGCCCTTGATTTACCAGACAGAAACCCAGACTGCAGAAAGGTACATTTTAAATGTTTCACTATTTGGGCCAAGAATGTAACTGGCCACCCACAGATATGTAGGGGAGTTACTATGTCTTGTGTAAATTATATTTTTCCAGCATGATTTGCCAGATTTTAGTTTTATTTTTTTTAATCAATTTTTGCATGAAATGTCCACTGTCCTATGAATTTCTGAAGCCTGTACAGGTAGAATTATATTTTTAAGGGCCTTTTATGATGCAAAAGGCTGTATATCTTCTCCTCCTATGTGTGATATAAAAACATATGCATATGTTACTCACATTACTGTCTTCTTGACTGGCTTTTCTCCAGTGTCTGGCATTTAAAAGTATGATGGCAAAGACAATTGTCTGCAAGTAGCATTATTATATCCTAAAAACAGAGGATCTTTCTTGTGTTCAGCTACCGAGTGCTAACGTTTTTGTTGCCTGGTATCAGGACCCTATTCTGTGGTCTTCCCAACTAACCCAATAGAAGTTTCCATGCTCTCCCACAAGCGAAGCTTGTCTAATCTGGTCTATGATGAAGATAGACCAGATTTTATGCATGTCCATAAAATACTGGTTTTCAGGCTAGAGCCGTTGTCGGACCTGAGCTTTCCTGTCATTACTGATCAATGGTGCTCTGAGTTAGAAAATCTTTAACACCTCCAAAAATGCTTCTTCAGCAATCAATTTTTCCTGCATGAAAATAGGGTAAGCACTAGGTGGAGGTCAATAGACTTATTCAGATAAAGTCTCTGCTCTATTTGGCTTTCCAGAGGCACTGCAAAATCAACCAAAAGAAACTTCTGCCACCAGCCAGAGCTTTTGCAAAAATAGGCTCAGAGTGTATGGAAATCTGATTAGACAACATCAGAGCCTGGACTGAGCATTTACTATTTAAAATGATAGACAACATCTTACAGTTCTAGGATAATGAATGTTGTTAGCACCAAGTCCAGTACAAGCAAAGCAAAACCATGGGACTGGTAACCTAATACCTTTATGGAAAGATTTGACCTACAGCTTGTTGCATTCCCCACTCTCTTCTTGACCCGGAGTCCCCTTCTGTTACAATATGTCTGAACCAGTCCTACTTAGTACTGTTGCTTTCTGGCTTCTTTCCATAACCATATTCCTCCCATTTGGAAGCGCCTCAGCTAGTTGAGGATTTTTATCATAGGAACTAGTGCTAGACAATTGTCTTGGGATGTGAAAACCTGACTCTAGAGGGGAGTGTCAGAAATAAAGAATCAAAACCAACGGATGATGATTGGCATGTCAGCTTGCCATCACTCACTTTGTATTTGATCGTAAATGTTTCTATCACTGCCTTCCTATTTCTATTATGTAAAATACTGTGCTGCATTCAAAAAGTGTAATACAAAGCCCCAGTCCTACAAACACACATACTTAATTTTACACCCAGAAGTCCAAAAGAAGACTTTTCAATGAACAACCAGCATGATTACTGAACTATATCATCTACAGTCTCAAGATAAAGCAACAGTCTTGGTTTTTCTCTTTTCTTCTGTTAATTGCAGGATTTGGAGTTTGTATTGAACAAATGGACCAAGCTGTGCAGAATGGATCTTAAAGGGAATCCTGTTTGCCGCAAACCAAAATACAGGGACAGGCTTATTATACAGTCAAAAACTCTAGGTAAAAGAGTATGGTTAGAACTCTTTCCACTTAAAAAAATATAGTTGGCACATTATCTATTTTTGAATTACAGTGAAACTCCTATGAAACCAAGTAATGTCCTCCACATTAATGTCAGGGGGTAAATATAATTTTTAAAAGCTATTGTACAAGTTATATAGTTTAAATTGATTAATAAGCTAAAAAAAACCCTGTTGCTTATGACTCAACTTATTATTATTAACAAAAGTACAGTTTACTAAAAAGGAGTGATACTATGGCATATCCATACAATTATAATTCAGGCTTTTCTGTGTTTGTGGTCCCAAATTAGGCGATACTGATTTTTAAAGATATCTTTCATTTTTTTCCCCTTGTAGCGTTACTGCAGGGTAGAGTTAAGGTAGTTTGGGTGTCTTAACTATGCATTTTATGTTGATGCTTCTTACATTGATGGAAGAGGTTTTTCTGTCGATGTAGTTAATTCACCTCTCCAAGAATGGTAGTTAGGTCAACGGAAGAATTATTCCATCAACCTAGGCATGTCTACATCAAGAGTTAAGTTGACCTAACTACGGCACCCAAGGCACAATATTTTTCACAGCCCTGAGCAATGTAGCTAAGTTGATCTATTTTTTAAGTGTAGACCAGGCCTAAGTTGTAGTCAAACAAGATACTTAATTTGGAAATGTGGATGGAGTCAAATCATGCTAGAACTGTGGGTCCTACTGCACTACAGAGTGAGTGAAGTTATGATAAAGGATCAAATCGTGCTTTCTTACATCATACAGGTGGCCCCAAGAGGTCAGTGGGACTATTTGATGAGTAATGCAGGCAGGTTTTGGTTGCAAGTGTGTACTTCCTTATGCCCTTATAAATGTATATGTCCTGCATAAATGTATGCTCTCTTTTTAGACCCCTGCACTCTCACTATCACGTCTTAATTTGGATATCAAACATTCTCCTTGCAAACCATACAAATAATTGATAGTCTCTTTCCCATGCATTTGAAAACTGCCATGTTACACATGAAATTCATTTCTTTATGAATAATTTTCAAGATATAATCTATCACTTGATTTCTTTTCTGACAAAGTTAACTAAAATGTAAGCAATTTTTGGCAAAAGGAAACATATCAGTGTACATAAGATATTTAATAGTTTAACCTTTTAGTTGACTAACTTTATTATGAAAAGTGTGTGTGTGTTTTCCTTTTTCCACAGAATCCCTTGATGGCAAAGAAATAAAAGAAATGGAAAGACAATTCCTAATGAATTGGAAAGCATCCAAAGCCTCTAGGAAAAAGAGCAAGGAAGAGAGCATGACAGATGAGCATGCAGCTTATCCACATTTCTGTAAGCAAACTAATCAAGTACTCCATTTACAATATGATCATTTACAACATTATAACAACTCTAAAATTTTATCTCACAGCAAAGATGTTGGAAACAAACTTCAGGCTGAAGATTGGGCCAAGATGGAAGGTTCAGATCTAATTAATAAATTCAGATTCCAAGGCCAGAAGGGACCTCCCATCTGACATCCTGTATAACGCAGGCCATAGAACTTCCCCAAAATAATTAATACAGCATATTTTTTTAAAAGCATCCAATCATGATTTAAACAGTATCGATGATCTTTCATGACCCTTGACAAGTTGTTCTAATAGTTAATTACTCTCACTGTTTAAAATCTGTGCCTTATTTCCAGTCCGAGTTTATCTAGCTTCAACATCCAGCCATTGGATTGTGTTATATCTTTCTGTGGTAGACTGAAGAGCACAATACTAAATATTTATTCCCCATGTAGGTACTTATGGACTGCAATCAAGTCACACCTTAACATTCTCTTTGTTAAAGTAACTAGATTGAGCTCCTTGAATTTGTTGCTGTGAGGCATGTTTTTTAATCCTTTAATCATTCTTCTGGCTTTTCTCTGAACCCTCTCCAATTTATCAACTTCCTTTTGAACTGTGGACACCAGAACTGGACACAGTATTCCAGCAGTGGTCACACCAGTGCCAAGTATAGAGATCAAATTTCTTCTCTCTTCCTACTCGAGATTCCCGTTTATGTATGTAAGGATTGCATTAGACCTTTTTGCCACAGCATCATACTCAAAGCTCATATTCAGTTGATTGTCTGCCATGGCTCCAGAATCTTTTTCAGAGTCTCTGCTTCCCACGATAGAACCCCCTCATTCTGTGAGTATGGCCTACATTCTTTGTTCCTAGATATATGCATGTATATTTAACTATGTTAAAACACATATTGTTTGCTCTGGCGGAGTTTACCAAGCAATCCAGATGGCTCTGTATCAGTGACCTGTCCTTTTAATTATTTACCACTTCCCCAATTTTTGTGTCATCTTCAAACTTCAGCAGTGATTATTTTATATTTTCTTCCAGGTCATTAATAAAAATGTTAAATAGCATAGGACGAAGAACTGATCCCTGTGGGACCCCAACAGAAACACATCCATTTGGTGATGATTTCCTGCTTACAATTACATTTTGAGACCCATCACTTAACCAGCTTTTAATCCATGTAATGAGTACCATGTTAATTTTATATTGTTCTAGTTTTTTAATAAAAAGGTCATGCGGTATCAACCAAATTTGTAATCTCTCATCAAAAAAAGATATCAAGTTAGTTTGACAGGAACTGTTTTCCATAAACCCATTAATTATATTACTCTCCTTTAATTCTTTATTGATCGAGTCCTGTATCAGCTGCTCCATTATCTTGCTAGGATCGATGTCATATTGACAGGCCTATAGTTTCTTGACACAACATTAGCTTTCTTCCAGTCTTCTGGAACTTCCCCAGTGTTTCAAGTCTTATTGAAAATCAACATTAATGGTCCAGTGAGCTTCTCAGCCAGCTATTTTAAAACTCTTGGATGCAAGTTATCCAAACTGGCTGACTTTAAAATGTTCAGCTTTAGTAGCTGCTCTTTAACGTCCCCTTGAAATACTAGTGGAATGGAAAGAGTGTTATTACATCATCTGTTTTTTCCCCAACTACAGAACAGATATATTTACTGAACACTTCTGCCTTTTCTGTATTATATCCATATCATTTCCATCTAGTAATGGACCAGTACCATTGTCAGGATTCTTTTTGTTGCTAATATACTTTAAAAACTCTTTCTTATAGTCCTTAACTCTGCTGGCCATAGCTTTCTCATTGTGTCCCTTTGCTTCCTTTTTCTACAATTCCTAGCTCCTGATATATATTCATTACTATCAACTTCCGCTGTCTTCCATTTTTATATATTACTTTTATAGCTGGCTTTACTCCCCCTCTAAACCAGATTGGTATTTTCAACCAATATGGCCTTTTTCTTCAATTGTGGGATTGTGTCTTTTTGGGCAAATAGTAAAATGTTCTTAAAGCAATTACCAATTATCATTCACATTTTTCTGATTAAATTCTTCCTCCCAGCTGATTTGGCTCCTAATTGTTTTTAGTTTGTGAAATTGGCCCTTTTAAAGCACCAAGGATATATAACTGGTCTGGACTTAACTCTGTTTGCACATTATAGTCATCATCAAGTTACCATTAATTTTTAGTTCCGTGACCAATTTTTTCTTTATCTATCGAGATGAGGTGTAATCTAGAATTCCCCGTGTTGGCTGCAACACTTTTTGAGTTAGGAAATTGTCATCTATAATATTTAGACATTCCAAGGATGTTTTAATACTGGCACGTATTAGGAGTTGTGGTCTATAGCAGACATCAACTACTCCATCTTTTGCTTATCTGTTAGGACATTGATCCATTAGCTTTCAAGATCATTTTCTTCTGCATTATCAGTGACTTGGAAATGGATAATGCCATTTTTGACATAGTGACATTCCACCTCCCCTTTTGTCCCACCTCCCCTTTTGTCCACTCAATCCTTCCTAAATAGGTTTGACCATTGATTTTTAACATTCCAGTCATGGGAACCATCCCACCAGATTTCAGTAATACCAACTAGATCAAATTTATGCTCATAAATGAGGAATCCACTTCTACTTGTTTGTTACCCAGGCTCCTATCATTGGCATATGGGCAATTAAATAATTTCTTCTCTTCATGTCCTTTGGTTCCTTGATTTAATTTTGTTCTCAACATCTCAATTTTGTGCTGAGTGCTCATATCCTCCCTCTTTTTATCCTCCCCTTTTTTTTATTAGTTTAACACCCTCTTGGCGACTCTAGTCAACCTGTCCCAGAGAAGATTGGTCTTGTTTCTAGTGAGGTGGAAGCCATCCAAACTATACAGCTCCCTCTCCCTATAGAAGGTGGACCAATGTTCCACAAAGCCAAATCCCACCTACACCACTTTTCTAGCTAGCGTTTCACTTTCAGAATCTTCTGCCTTGTGCCTGCCTTTGCTTGTGGGACGGGAATGATCTCAGAGAATATCACTTGGACATTCTTCAGCACACTTCCAAGTTCCCTGCGATATCTGCGAGACGTCCCATGACTCAGTGTCATTAGTGCTCTAACAAACCAGCACCAATGGATCCCTTCCTGTCAACTTCAAAGTTGTCTATCCAATCTTAGAGCAACATCTAGTGTTATGTTCTGGGAAGGCAATTCATTGTCCTGTTGTCTGCCTGACCCTTGCACAAAATTCTATCAATTCTTCGGAATATTGAATCCCCAACAAGGATCATCAGTTTTCCTTGGACAGTTGAAGAAATCTTTGTGAGGAAGCTTGATTTTCTTACAGGTTGGGCTAAACTGCCATCCACAGTTGAGTCCCATACTTGTCTCCATTTCCGTGACCAGCTGGATCTTGAGAGGTATCTTCCACAGTTTCCAAGTTGAGGGCCTGGCATCTATTGGAAACTTCCAGCTACGTGGAATTCTTCCTGGTCCTCTTCTCTCTGGTGGCCACAGCCTGCCCATCCTTGTCGATCTTCAACCATGTAGACTGTCTCCGTGACCTCTTGCCTCTGGTAGTTACAAACTGCCAGTCTTCCTCTCTGACCTCCTCTGTCTCCGACTCCTTGGTGGGCAGCTCCTTTTTACCTGGGGTACTGATGTTTCTTGAACCTGGCTGTCAAGGAGCTCCTCAGCTTCTCTGATCAGGAAGATCTAGATCTTCAGTTTTTGTTCTGGCTCACCTCTATTTTAAACTTGTCAGCATCACGGTAAGGATAGGCAAATAGATTTTGAGCCTGTGATGGTGAATGTTCATGATAATTTTGTAAGGCTGATTTTCACATATAGAAGAATGCTTGTCCAACACTTTGGGATAAATACACACACAATCAGTGCAGTGCAGGAACAGTGACCCGCGGCCACTGGGAGCTGCAGCCGGCCATGCCTGAAAACGGTCAATGTAAACAGTGTCTCGCGGCCTGCCAGCGGTTTACCCTGACAGGCCGCGTGCAGCCCACGGGCCACAGGTTGCCCACCACTGATGTAACTAGATATGAGAGTTGGCAAATTAGTTCATATTTAGTATTATCACTTGGTTTATATTCATTATAATAATTTGTCTTTGGTACTGTAAAGACACACAAGAGGATTCTGTCCCTCCCACAGGAAGTTTACAGTCTGAATAGGCAAATAAAATAAGAACACACCTCCCCAAAAAAATATTTAGGTATAAAATTCAAACAAGCCTGAATTAAACTTTTTTTGAGGTTAAAAAAATTAACTTTTTCAATTTTCATTTTTGTGTGCTTCTGCTTTTCTCGATTTCAAGTAGGACTGGAAGCATAAATAAATAATTAAAACGATAAAGGCTATTTTCACAGCATTTCCAACCCAACTGGATGCAGGAAGTACTGATATATAAGAAAGCTTGTGAAAGAGTCTGTTCTTGCAAGATTTTAGGGCTAGTCATTAAAACTCAGGTGGCTCAAATAGCTTGTAAATAAGCATTTATACATAAATGAACTAATGGAAGTTCTCCAATTGCTTCTTGATAAGCTCTGATATGTAATTTTAGCGACAGGGCTTATTGTGATCTACAATCATGCCATATCAAATTGCTATCTCATGAGATCTCACAAAATAAGGGTCTGATTGTAGGAGGTGCTGAATAGTCTCATCTCCCACTAAGACCATGTCTACACTACCATTTAGTTTATTATTTGTACATAACAAAAATATTAAAACTTGCAAGCCATATAATAACTAGCAAAATGAAGTCATACTTTGACTTGAAATATTACATTAATACTTAATTCTTTGTATCCTGCAGATGACTTTGGAACAGGCCATCCCATTGTTCCTGTTTATTACAATCCTTCTGGAAAAGGAAAACCAAAATTTGTTATTTTATCTGAGCTACATAGGTCTCCACATAACAGAGAAGAACCTCTGCAAAGACCCCAGGAAGGAAGTAATGTTAATGTTAGCAAAAAAATCAGGTATGTTCCCCTAAAAGATCCTGGGTCCAATTCTGCTATGTACACTTGTATGGCTCTCACTGAAGTAGTTGGAACTAAGGGTACGACTACACTATGAAATTAGGTCGAATTTATAGAAGTCGATTTTTAGGAAGCGATTTCATACAGTGGATTGTGTGTGTCCTCACTAAGCACATTAAGTCAGTGGAGTGCATCCACAGGACCATGGCTAGCGTCGACTTTCGGAGCGTTGCACTGTGGGTAGCTATCCCACAGTTCCCGCAGTCTCCGCTGCCCATTGGAATTCTGGGTTGAGCTCCCAATGCCTGATGAGGCAAAAACATTGTCGCGGGTGGTTTTGGGTACATGTCATCAATCGCCCCTCCCTCCGTGAAAGCAACGGCAGACAATCGTTTCGCACCTTTTTTCCGTGTGGGCGCCATACTGCTTTCAGCAGACGGTGCAGTAGGACTGCTAACTGTCGTCATCGAATGACCACTTCTGCTGCAACTCTGCTCTCCTGCTCTGGCCACAGACGATGCAATAGGTCAGAAAAATGGTCTTCCAACCACCGCTTCCGCTGCCACTCTGCTCTCCTGGTGGTCTCGCAGGTCCTCTATATGACTGTTGTCATTCGCCGCTTCTGCTGCAACTCTGCTCTCCTGCTCTTGTCTCGCCATACCATGGCAAGCGTGCAGCCCACGCAGCTCACCTAACGGACACCGCTGCTGTTGTGTTCTGGCAGCAGACGGTGCAGTAGTCTGCAAAACTGGTCTTCCAACCACCACTTCCACTGCCACTCTGCTCTCCTGCAGACGCCATACCACGGCAAGCATGGAGCCCGCTCAGATCACCGCAGCAGTTACTTCGCACATTATCTTGCAGTATGTGCAGAACCAGAACCTGCAAAAGCAGGCGAGGAGGCGACAGCAGCGCGATGATGAGAGTGATGAGGACATGGACCCAGACTTCTCTCAAAGTACGGGCCCTGGCAATTTGGACATCCTGGGGCAATGGGGCAGGCTCATGCCATGGAACGCTGATTCTGGGCCCAGGAAACAAGCACAGACTGGTGGGACCGCATAGTGTTGCAGGTTTGGGATGATTCCCAGTGGCTGCAAAACATTCGCATGCATAAGGACACTTTCATGGAACTTTGTGACTTGCTTTCCCCTGCCCTAAAGCGCAAGAATACCAAGATGAGAGTAGCCCTCACAGTTCACAAGTGAGTGGCGATAGCCCCCTGGAAGTTTGCAATGTCAGACAGCTACCGGTCAGTCGGGAATCAATTTGGAGTGGGCAAATCTATGGTAGGGGCTGCTGTGATCCAAATAGCCAATGCAATCACTGAGCTGCTGCTATCAAGGGTAGTGACTCTGGGAAATGTGCAGGTCATAGTGAATGGCTTTGCTGCAATGGGATTCCCTAACTGTGGTGGGGCGATAGACGGATAGGGAGAGGAATAGACTGCATATCCCTATCTTGGGACCGGACTACCTTGGCAACCAGTACATAAACAAAAGGGGGTACTTTTCAATGGTGCTGCAAGCACTAGTGGATCACAAGGGACGTTTCACCAACATCAACGTGGGATGGCCAGGAAAGGTAGATGATGCTTGCATCTTCAGGAACTCTGGTCTGTCTGAACAGCTGCAGCAGGGGACTTACTTTCCAGACCAGAAAATAACCGTTGGGGATGCTGAAATGCCTAAAGTTATCTTTGGGGACCCAGCCTACCCCTTAATGCCATGGCTCATGAAGCCATACACAGGCACACTGGACAGTAGTCAGGAGCTGTTCAACTATAGGCTGAGCAAGTGCAGAATGGTGGTAGAATGTGCATTTGGATGTTTAAAAGCGTGCTGGCGCAGTTTACTGACTTGCTTAGACCTCAGTGAAACCAATATTCCCATTGTTATTACTGCTTGCTGTGTGCTCCACAATATCTGTGAGAGTAAGGGGGAGACGTTTATGGCGGGGTGGGAGGTTGAGGCACATCGCCTGGCCGCTGATTACACACAGCCAGACAACAGGGTGGTTAGAAGAACACAGCAGGGCGCGCTGCGCATCAGAGAAGCTTTGAAAACCAGTTTCATGACTGGCCAGGCTACGGTATGAAAGTTCCGTTTGTTCCTCCTTGATGAAAACTCGCCTCCTTGGTTCACTCTACTGCCCTGTAAGCCAACCGCCCTCCCCTCCCCCCTTCGATCACCGTTTGCAGAGGCAAAAAGTCATTGTTGTTTCAAATTCATGCATTCTTTATTAATTCGTCACACAAATAGGGGGATAACTGCCAAAGTAGCCCAGGAGAGGTGGGGAAGGAGGGAAGCACCGGGTGGGGTGTGAGAGGAGGAGGGGAGGGAAGGACAAGGCCACACTGCACTTTAAAACTTATTGAATGCCAGCTTTCTGTTGTTTGGGCAGTCATCTGGGGTGGAGTGGTTGTGTACCCGGAGTGTCCCCTCCCCCCCCGCCCGCGTTCTTGGGCGTCTGGGTGAGGAGGCTATGGAACTTGGGGAAGAGGGCGGTTGGTTACACAGGGGCTGCAGCTGCAGTCTGTGCTCCTGCTGCCATTCCTGCAGCTCAACCATACGCCGGAGCATATTAGTTTGATTCTCCAGTAACCTCAGCATTGCATCCTGACTCCTCTCATCATGCTCCCGCCACCTCTCCTCTTGCTCCCGCCACCTGTCCTCTCATGCGTCCCTCCTGTCCTCGCATTCATTTTGTGCTTTCCTGGACTCTGACATTGTCTACCTCCACACATTTTGCTGAGCTCTTTCAGTGCGGGAGGACTGCATGAGCTCAGAGAACATTCCATCGCGAGTGCGGTTTTTTCGCCTTCTTATCTGCACTAGCCTCTGGGGCAGAGACGATAGGGGGAGTGTTGAAACATTTGCAGCTGTGGGAGGAAAAAAAAGGGAGAGTTGTATTTAAAAAGACACATTTTTTAGAGAACAATGGGTAGACTCTTTCACGGTGAACCAAGCTGTTAACATTACATAGCACATGTGCTTTCGGTACAAGGTCACATTTTGCCTCTTATTTTGAGGGCCTGCCAGTTTGGTGTGAGAGATCACACACGCAGGGCCGGGCAACAGAATTTGTCTTGCAGGCAGCCATGGTAAGCCACAGTCTTTTGGCTTCTTTAACCTTCATAACATGTGGGAATGGTTTCAAACAGCAGCGCCCTCATTTCCCATACCAAGCACCCATTGGGTTGGCCATTTAAAATGGGTTGGCCATTTAAAAGGAGGGGCTGCGGTTTTCGGGTTAACGTGCAGCACAAACCTAACTAAATCCCCCCTCACACCCAATTCTCTGGGATGATCGCTTCACCCCTCCCCCCACCGCGTGGCTAACAGCGGGGACGATTTCTTTTCAGCCACAGGCAGGCAGCCCAGCAGGAACAGCCACCTCTGAATGTCCCCTTAATAAAATTCCCCTATTTCAACCAGGTGACCATGAATAATATCATTTTCCTGAGGATAAGACAGAGAGATAAAGAACGGATGTTGCTTGACTGCATTCCAGTAGCTGTACTGGCCGAGAATGCATCCCAAGTCTTCAGGGCAAATTAATCATTAAACACGCTTGCTTTTAAACCATGTATTATATTTACAAAGGTACACTCACCAGAGGTGCCTTCTCCGCCTTCAAGTTCCGGGAGCCCGCCTTGCGAGGGTTGGGAGGGTATTGTCTCCAGGGTGATAAACAGTTCCTGGCTGTCGGGGAGAACGGTTTCTCCGCTTGCCTGCTGTGCGCTACCCTCCTCCTCCTCCTCCTCATTATCTTCCTCGTCCCCAAAATCCTCATTCCTGTTGCGTGAGACTCCCTCTTTGCAGGAGTCCACGAACAGGGGTGGGGTAGTGGTGGGGGCACCCCCTAGAATTGCATGCAGCTCATCATAGAAGCGACATGTCTGGGGGTCTGACCTGGAGCAGCCGTTTGCCTCTTTGGTTTTTGGTAGGCTTGCCTGAGCTCCTTAAGTTTCACACAGCACTGCTGTGGGTCCCTGTTGTAGCCTGTGTCCATCATGCCTTTGGAGATTTTTTCCAAATATTTTGGCATTTCGTCTTTTGGAATTCAGTTCTGATAGCACAGATTCATCTCCTCATACAGCGATCAGATCCAGTACCTCCCGTTCGGCCCATGCTGGAGCTCTTTTGCTATTCTGGGACTCCCTGGTCACCTCTGCTGATGAGCTCTGCACAGTCACCTGTGCTGATCAGCTTGCCACGCTGGCCAAACAGGAAATGAAATTCAAAAGTTCACGGGGCTTTTCCTGTCTACCTGGCCAGTGCATCTGAGTAGAGAGTACTGTCCAGAGCGGTCACAATGGAGCACTCTGGGATAGCTCCCGGAGGCCAATACCGTCGAATTGCGTCCACACTACCCCAAATTCGACCTGGCGATGTCAATTTCAGCACTAATCCCCTCGTCGGGGAGGAGTACAGAAATGGATTTTAAGAGCCCTTTAAGTCGACAAAAATGGCTTCATTGTGTGGACAGGTGTAGGGTTAAATCGATCTAATACTGCTAAATTCAACCTAAACTCGTAGTGTAGACCAGGGCTAAGTGACTTCCACCAGTTCACTGGTATGACTTTCTTTAAAACATCATCAGCAAACATATTTCTTGAATGGTTCTTATTCCCAAACTGGGTCTCTTTTACAGCCTGCTTCTATTATAGGTTTGCCTTTCTAGTGAGAGAATGGTATGGTAGATCTCAAATCAATGAAAGCTACACTCAGAAAGACCTCAAGACTTCTGGAATATGCTGCTCAAACCGTTTCACTTTTGTTTCTACTGCCTGTCCCTCCCTTCTCCCATTTATCTCCAGACTTCTTCTCCTTGTCCAGATCTATTCCGCCCCCAACAATCTTCTAGTCATTGAACTTTTTGAAACTTTGTACTTTTAGAGAGAGATAAGGGATTGACTATGTGTACACAAATTTGCAGAGGGACAATAGGGTTGAGGTCTGTTATTTCTCACCTGTATATATTATTTATTTATTTATTTATTTATTTTAAATATTTTTGCTGTTAACAAGCATGTTATCTCTGGAGACACAAATCCACAGTTTGAGAACTGCAAAACTAAGCATCTCTGATGGTATTTTCTAGACCAGAGATTCTCAAACTGGGGGGGTCAGGACCCCTCAGGGGGTCGCAAGGTTATTACATGGGGGGTCACGAGCTGTCAGCTTCCACCCCAAACCCCACTTTGCCTCCAGCATTTATAATGGTGTTAAATATATAAAAAAGTGTTTTTAATTTATAAAGGGGGTCTCTCAGAGGCTTGCTATGTGAAAGGGGTCACCAGTACAAAAGTTTTTGAGAATCACTGTCTTAGACTGAGCACTGAGTGTACTGTGTAGATAAAAAGATTAACCTAAATAATCTATACAGAAGCCCCTGGAACCCTATAAGATTGGATCCCTAATCCATGAACTATTGGAACTCATTTACAAAAATTTTCTTAAACATTTCATTAATATATTGTCTCATACTATAGAATTAGAATTTATAATCTCTATTCCATTATAAGATATCTTTGAGATATAATGTATCTTAATTAACACTATCTTTAGATAGGTTTTTTCCTCAAAAAGCATTTTATCAAAAAAAAATCTGATTTTTTAAATCATTGATTTTTATCCACCCTGTCCCAGACCCTTTGGTTCTGGTCTGCAGAGGTAGCTAGCTGAACCCCCAGAGTCTGATTGAGTCTTTCCACTACCCCATCAGACGTGGGTATGCTGGGGTTGTATGAGTTTTGTGGAGCCATAGAATTTCAGAAACCCTATTGGAACACTTTGAATTCAAAATTTCTCCCTTGAGCTGTGTATAATTCAGGACCCAAAATCTGGTGAAGAATTCATTCACGAGACCTCTACTACTGTCACAGCATCTTGGTTCTTTACTGGGTAAACTTCAGACCATTTTGTGAAGTAGTACATAGTTATATTGATTGCCAGACTCTGTTTCAGGCAGGGCCCAAGCACATTGACAGCAGTGTGCTCTTTTGGTGCCCCCACAAGATACTGGACCGATCCCATGACAAAACTCTTTGGCCAGAAATGGAAAGAATGTGCTTACAACAAAACGGAATGGTGTGGCGGCGACTTGCGTTCTGTGGAGGAATGGACGAGGACAAGCCGGACAAAGGTGACAAGATACTGCTGCACAGGGGTTCTCCCTCTCATAGGGGGACTCTTCTCTGCCACACAAACATCACATTTCTGTATCAGTTTTCTACATCCTGTCTGCATTTCATCCAATAGAAATTTTCTCTTAGCTTGACTGTGGTTTTTGCAACCTCAAAATGTCCAGCAGTTTTCAAATCATGACATATCAGAACCTTCTTTTTCAATGTATCTGGTGCAACCAGCTAGTACCTGTACCCATTGCCCATTGTTTTTTCCCATCTCCTGTACAATATTCCATCTTCAAACTCCAAGCTTTCTTACTGTGACCAGAAAGCTTTTACTGTGGTCTGTGGAGATACTACATTCCAGTGTGGCTACCTTTGCCAAATGATTTTCCAATCACACACTATCCTGATGTCTGTATCCTCTCTTTGGGAATCATTTAACTGCTCAGAAGTCCATTCTTGCAATTCTGCATCCACTGTTCCAATGGATGAACCAGGAACATTTGTACTGCAAATTATAAGAGGAGAGGAGACAGACATCTCTTCCTGAGCACACTCGTTCCCTTGAGCAACAAATTCCTTGTTCTCCTGCTTAGAGCAGAGGTTGCAATTAGCCTCTCAACAAGGCCACCCGGACAAGGGTGTGTATTACCATGCTTGTTCCCAGGTTTGTGTGTAATTCTGAGATCATAACTGACATTTTTCCAACCAGATGGCAAGTTGTCCCTTAGGATTCCTGAATCTAAAGAGTAATTACAGGGATACATGGTCTGTCTTGACCACAGTTTTTCTTCCATACAAATAGTGATGAAAATGTTCTTTAGATTTAAGCACAGTCAGTAGTTCCTTTTGGGTGGTGCTATACATTCTCTCCAGAAAACTTAAACTTTTGCTGTAATAAGCCACCACCCTCTCAAGTCCTTTATGTTCTCGTGTCATTACTGTCCCTCAAACCGTAAGCACTAGCATCTATATCCAATATGAATAGGGGGGTTGAAACATGGATAGGCTGAAACAGGTACAGTCCACTCTGAAAATGTGAAATCACACTATGCTACTCACTGAAATTGTTTTCCTTTTTCACCCAACTTACACTATGGTTTTGAAATATTGGCAAATCCACAAATAAACCTTTTGTAATAAGAGCCCTACAAAACTTTGCACATCTATGAGTGTCTGGACATTTGACCAGCTTTGTACAGTTTCAATTTTCTTTTTGTCAGTGGAAATTCCCTCCTCACAGATTGTGTTCCCAAGGAAAATTACCTTTTTTTTTTTTTTTTTAAACAACTCCTTTATTTGGATTCACACTGACAGCCTTAAGCTTATCACAGACTATTTGTAAATGTATCAATTCCTGCTCAAAGATTTTAGTATGCACCAGAGAGGGGCATGCCACGCAGTATGCTCTCCATTACCTTCTTAAATGTGGTTGGTGCATTACACAGGCCAAAAAACCTCACTTTAAATTGCCAGAGACCTTTTTCTTTCTGTGAAAGCACTTTTTGCCCTGTTGTTTGGATCCATTTCCACTTGCCAATACCCACTTTTAAGATCCAGTATGGAAAACCAGATTGAACCTGCTGCAGCATCCAGACTATCATCTATTTATAGTAAAGTGATTTAATTTAGTTTTCTATAGTCCACCTAGAAACTAGTGCTGCCATCTTTTTTCTTAACTGGAATTGTGAGTGAGGCCCAAGGACTAGTTGAAAGCTCAATCATTCCTTCCTTATAGATTTCCATAATGGCCTGTAAAGCCTCTTCCCTCTTTGCAACTTGTAAATGGTCTGGTGGCTGTTTAATCCCATCAATATGAATGCACAGAGGCAGCTCTTGAAGAGTGGTAAGGCACCCCTCTTCTTGTAGACCTAAATTGATTTTAAGCCAAAGCTGAGCACAGTTAAATAGCAACCTGTATAGAACTCCACTCCACTGCTGCAGAAGGCACAGGCATCCCAAAGTGACCCGGCATTTTTGAGACCATCTAGGATTTTTTCCTGTGACTAAATTGGTTTCTGAATCCAGTAATTCATTCCTTTTAGCCTTGTTATTTAATAATAGAGGGCTCTAAAAATGGGGAAACTTTACATTAGATGAATTGAATATTAACAGAATGATGACATTTTTCATTGTAAAACAGTCGTTGTTTGACCCATCTAGTTTATCAGATACTTTTCCAAATGAATATTTCAATTTTTGTACAGTTTGGCTTATAAATTATTTTATGATGCTGTGCTGCTTAGAAGAGTTTCCAAACATAACATAATTAAAAAAACATAATATCAAGTAATTCACAATATCGTCTCTTAACATTTTTTCATCAAGTAACCTGTCTTTTGAAGCCTTAGACAGTTTAGGATGTGAGGATAAGGAGAGGAGAACAAAGTGGCAATTTTCCTAATTTACAATCTGAAAACAATTGTTCCTTATAAGGACTGTCCTCTACATGTTCAGATGGTGGAACACACTTTTTAAAAAGATGAATAAGGCTCCTTTATAGCTTCTTAGCAGCAGTTAGCAATTGAAAATTTTCCATCAGATCCATCGGCTTCTCTCTAAACAGCAGGCTCTTTCCTTAATTAATTAACTTCTAAATTATAAAGTCTTGGTGATATTTCTCAAAAGTGTGAGGAGATTGTTTACCATCAGCCATTCTAACAGAGAAAGAGCAATGTGCTGCAGTGGGAATTCTGCAGCTGCAGGCTCCTGCCTCTTGGCTCTCTGCTCTCACAGTTCACTTAATGGCTTTGTTTTTACATCTGTCAATGAACCAGCACGTATATTCACTTGAGTATAAAGCTCAATGAAAGGGCAATACGTTGTTTAAAAACAAAGATTAGTGTTGCCCTAAAACAAGGTAGTAAAGTTAATCAGCCAGGGGTTTTATATATTTTCCAACAGCATAATTTGCTTGTGTTCACCTTTTGCACTATACGTCAAGCATGATGCTGATAGCTTAGCCTCTAACATGAGACATGAATGATACAAGAGACAAAAAATGCTATTTTAACTCATTCCAAATTAGTAGCCATAAAATATTTTATAGAATGTAGGGCCTAATGACTTTTCTTGTTCACAGAATAGATGTGTTTTCTTTAGTTTCTTTAGTCAGTTGATGTTGCAAAGAAAACAATTCTAAGTTAGGTTGGTCCACCACGCTCTGATGGCTCGAGTTACATAGTGCCATGGGTATGATACTTAAGACTGTGAGTCTGTCACAAAATACACAAATTCCTTGACTCTCCGGGACCTCCGTGACTTCTGCAGCGGCAGGTACATCTGGCCTGGGGGGGCTTCCTGAGCAGCTCGGGCAGCCCCTGGGCCAGCCAAACCGGCCATTGCTGGGGCAGTCTTGGGCCACTGCACCTCCCACCCCTCCCAACAGCAGCAGGGGTCTCAGGCTGCTGTGCCCCCCCTCCCCTGCAGCAGCAGGGGCCCAGGCAGCGTGCCGCTGCCCCCCCCCCAGAGCACCCGTGGCACCCCTGGGCTGCTCCCCACCCCGCAGAGCACCCACAGCACCCCCAGGCCACCCCTGCCCCAGAGCCCCCAGGGTATATAGTCAGGGGTATATAGTACAAGTCATGGACACGTCAGGGGCTGTGAATTTTTGTTTACTGCCTGTGACCTGTCCGTAACTTTTACTAAAATTACCTCTGACTAAAACATAGCCTCAATGATACTATCATCATTTATTCTGAAGTCTTACTATATGACAGACATGTTAGTATATATACAACTGTCTTTGTTCCATTAGTTGTACCATTAGCTGACTTTATAAATTATGCAGCTATAAGTGCCTGTGTATCTGAGAACAAGATTAAACCTTGGACTGGATTAGGCTTGTTTTCTGTTGTGTTAATACTAGGGCTCATCAGGAATTTTGTGACTCAACTTTTTTTGTAGGAAAATATTGATTCAACAACTTCAAAACTTTTCACAGGAAAGAGTCGGTTTTATTGAAACCTTTGTCAGGAAAGTTTCTTAGGTACAGGATGGAATTTCAAAATGAGAGACATTCCTCCTCCCCAGAATAGCCAACAGGCCAGTCTTTAGGGTACTCAACTGCTATGTAGTAGACACAGGTTCAAGTCCCTGCTCCTTCTGATTCTGAAATCTCTCTGTCTCTCTGGTTGGAGCTGTTCCACTGTGTATAAATAATTACGGTAAATATTAATTGGGTGAGCAAGAGAGACTGACTCTATCTATAGTCCAGTAGATTAAGGCATTCATCTGGGATTTGGGAGACTCAAATTCAAGTCCCTGCTCTGACTCAGGCAGAGCGAGTGCCCGAACTACTGGCCATTGCAGGGCAATGGTGTGTCTTTCTCTCATTTTTCATGAAAACTTTCAAAAGATCTCAATTTTGTTCCAATGTAGAACAAAAACAGATTTCAAAACCTTGCAAATGTTTTCTGTCCAGCCCCGGGTTAATACCAAACAAAGTCTAACTGGTGATTGCAGAACACAGTAATCTTTTCAAACAAAGAAAATGGAATTAAACAGTTCAGCATTCTCATTTAAACACTAATAAACTGTTTAGGATTATTCTCGTTCTTGTTTATAGATTACCTGGACAAGTTTCAGTCAACTGCTTAGAAAACACACCTTTAAGCAGTGTGATCCTAAAATAATTAAGTTCCACTTAAGTACCAATACTTCCCTTCATCAGTAAAGGCACTCGTGAACTGGCTTCATATTTTTTTATTATTATTTGCCAGTAACTACTAGATCATTGAAAAGTGCAGAAAACAGTCTTTTTTTTTTTTCACTTGATAAAGCAGTCTGTCATGGTCTGCTGAGCTAATTAAAACCAAGTGACACATGGGAAAACTTCAGAAATTTTCCTTCTTACTAAGAGATGTTTATTTTTTTTAATCATATGGAATGAAGAGTGGAAACAAATATAAATTAATACTTTTATTTTTTGCTCTTGTGCATAAAACTACATATGACTACAAAATGCCTCAGAGATTTTTTTCCATTGGGGATAAAAGGGTTTAATTATGCAAATTGTAATCTAAATTTCTTAAACAAAATTGCTTATTTTCCAAAATACCACTAGTTTACATCATGAAATACAATTCTGTTTTAAAGAACAGATTGCTCTTGAGTTGCAGAAGAAGAAAT